ATACAATACAATACAATACAATACAATACAATACAATACAATACAATACAATACAATACAATACAATGCAATACAATACAATACAAAAGAAACCTGATATGACATTATGATACAAGGAACCTCCAAAGATGCTGTTGTGTCCATTTTCTGTGGGCCATCTACTGCTGGACATACAGCCTCCCCTAAAGAGTAATTTGTTTCCCTAGTGAGCCTCCCTTGGAGAAAACTACTTTTTCATTTGAGAAGAATTAGCAAAGATAGCTTCTGAGTTAGGAATTAAGGAATATGTCCACCGATGCTTTCAGCTCTAATATACATTGGTAAGTGCAGGCACCATTAACAATTAGCTTAGAAAGTTCTTTTTTATTATGCTGTTCTATAATGTGTGTGTGTCTTTCTCTGTGTACATGTGTCAGTGTATAAATATGTGTATTGTAAATATGTGCTCTTATGTGTACACGTATGTATATGGCAATATATCAGTGGTTCTTAACCTACCTAATGCTGCGACTCTTTAATTTCCTCGTGATATGGTGACCTCCAGCTATAAAGTGTTTTTTGTTGTTATTTTATAACTATAATTTTGCCACTGTTGTAAATCATAAGGTAAATATCTGTGTTTTCTGATGGTCTTAGGTGACCCTGGTGAAAGGGTTGTTTGACCTCCCCTAAAGGGGTCTTCACCTACAGGTTGTAAACTGCTGCTATATATTGTTGGAAGCCATCTAGCAAAGGCTAAATGTTTGCAAGTACATTTTCTAGAGATGGCCCAGTGTTTTGTAAGGCTGTAATGGGTGATCTCTAAGAATACAAGGTCTGTAGACACTTCATCCCAGGATTGCTTCTTGCTTCTGATATGCCTTTCCTGTCACTATTACATAGTCTAATGATTTCTGAGCATCAGCCTATCCTATTGGGCAGATTTTCTGTAGATCAATATGAAGATACACTCTCATGTAGTAACACTGTGTAGACAAATTGATGCTTTCATAATCCCTAATAAGGATTTTATAAAATTCCTAAAATTATACAAGTAATTTTGAGCCCTCTAAACACTGCAAATAAAGCTCTGTAAATCTTAATCTGTCACGGGCTAATTGCACTAGAGTAAGAAAGCAGGCTTGGGACAAATTTACAATAAGGAAAAATAGTCCTTCTAGGTTAGCTGTGAGGTAACTAACCAGATAGCTACTATCTGGTAACTAAAGTCATAATGAAAGTGCAAGGACAAAAAATAAAATATCGACTGGTTTATCTATACAAAACTTGAAAATAATAAGACACCAGGCAGATGATTTGTCCAAGACCTGCTGACTTGTGACATAAAAGTTACTCCTTTGTAGAATAAGAACTGGAAAACTCAATCCGCCAAAAAAATGCACAGCTGACAGTTGAGTTAACACTTTTCTTGGAGTAGAATGAAACAGTCCAAGAATGTGGATATTGACACATTCTCCATAAATGTTCTTTTTACAGTATATTCATTCTAGAGTTATTTTGTTTGTTTGTTTTCCTTCTTTTGGACCTTGATCAATAACTGCCATGTTATTTTGCTTTGTATTTCTATAGGTAGCTGCACACAGTTCAGTAAAAATAATGCTGCTATCAAGCTGCTATAATGTTGCTTCAATATGCAAATATTGAAGTATAATAGTTTGACTATATCACAGTGTTGTAGCAGCCTCTTGGTTTTTCCTCTTCACTCCTTTTTCTTTTTTAAACTTATAAAGTCACCTTTTTTTTTAAGTCTTCAATGATGAGAGCAATATTAAGGAGACATTGCTATCTAATTTTTAATCTTTTTAAAATAAAAAGTTCCTATGTTCAGTAGCATGGTTGATGCTATTGTTTAGCCTTCCTTCTATATCATACATTGGCTTGGAATGTTCACAGTTCTGCGTGTGTGGCAGCAGAAGATAACCCCACATTCTACATTGCTACTGTTTTGTATGAAATAAATTGGTAAAGATTGACACTAAAAAAAAGTTACTGCTTAAAACTTATACTGCTATAGACTTATGGCTCTAAATGATAAATAATGAACATTCAGTCAAGTACCAGTCTTAGTTGAAAGACATGGAAACATTTCTGCTGTAACGCTTTGTCATTTTCCTGAACTATTGTCTTGAACTTGCTCTGAACTTATGGAACATGTGATCAATTACTCTGAGAAAGTATAAGAAGATCTAAGAATGACAAAAAAAATGATGGTGCAGCTTTCTTCCGCTTCATTTAGAGTGAATGAGTGTTTTATTCTGCATGCAGGAATTTTCCCTCTTCCTTCTTTCCTTCTTTCTTTCTCTTCTTTTGTTTCTGATTCACAAAGACTTAAATAGCTCCAAGCTTCTTGCCTAGCCAGTGAGACGGCCTGTGAGCCAAAGAGAAAAGATCCCCAGCAACTAAAACTTCTTTACTTAATCCCTTGCTACTAACAGCAGGAGTTAATTGCCAAAAACCAGTGGTATGTAGCAACAGAATAATAATAAACCAGCAGCTTTTAGCCATAAAAAGATCATCAGTCTTTGGCCTTTATCCAATGGTGTGTCTCACCTCAGCAACTGTACCACTAAATGCTGGGGCTACACTTCAGCATTATATGAATGTTTGTATGAGCATTAGTGTGTGTGTATGTTTGAGATCATGTGTCTGTGTGTGTTTGTATGTGTACATGTGTGTACATGGCTGTATGTGAACTGTACATGTAAATTACTCTCTCTCTCTCTCTCTCTCTCTCTCTCTCTCCTTTCTTCCCTCCCTCCCTGTGTGTTTTTGTGGGTGTGTGCACACGTGTGTGCATGCACAAGCAGGCCTGACTGCTCTAGTCATCATCCCCTCCACTTTGACTGTTTGTTGTTTGTTTGTTTGTTTGTTTGTTTTGAGACAAGGTCTGTCACTGAACTTGGAGATACTGATTGGCTAGACTGGCTAAATCCTCTTATCTCTGCCTCTCTATCAATAAGAAAAGTTATGTAATAAATGTCCTGACCTACAGCTTTCTGTAAAAGCTGTACAGCTTTTGGTACAACTATAGGACTTTAAAAAGTTTATGTATCTGTTTTCACAGTGCAACATGTCATTTGAGACAACTTGAACTCTTGATCCATGGCCATTGCCACCCATACTTGGCCCCAAATAAATGACTTCATATTCTGTTTTGAAATAATATCTGTGTTTTTCATTGACAGTACCATATCTCCCCTGTCTTAGCTAATCATGTGGAGCAATTCTTTGAGCATCTGTGCAACAGCAGCAGACACTTAGAAATACAGAAGGAAAAAGGTCTCTATAAGGACGAACTCATGTAAACATAAATGTGATTGAACATCACACTATTAAGTGCTTTGTGCTGTCAGAAAGAGAGATTTTTATTGTGTTCACCACGTAGCTAACAATGATGTAAGCAAAGATATGCTTACATCAAGCCAGGTACAAGATGAGAAGATTACATGATTCTTTATACCTCTTCTCTAAACGAGTGACTAGCGCTTTCCTGATATAGATAGGGAGTGAGAAAATTTAGCTCACAGGGGTTGAGTGATTCCTACCAGACAACAGCAGGTGATTTCCAGAGTCAGAATTTGTTATGTTGTCTTATGAATCTGTCATGATCAAAGACGTTGAACTCTAACACTGCCAGGTTTTATAAACATTTAGCAAACTTACCGTGTAATAGTCATACCAGAGGGCTTTGGGGAAATATGCACTGATGTTTCGGGCATTCTGAAATTAAACACAGACCAGGTATGGATGTTGCCATCTGAGACAGAGTAAGCAACTTGCAGTGTACCCTTGCATAAAATGGTAGAACTAAAATCGGATACAGTAACCCCAACTTCCTAAATATCACTGATGCTGAGAACTCCTGTATTCTTCCCCAAATTCCAAGTGTGAAAATGGCCCAGAAAAAACTAGAACCTTCACTAAAGCCCTTTGGGGAACAGGAACTCAAAAAAATGAACACCTCATGCTTGAAGACTTATCCATCATTTCTCTCAGGACACAATACCCAAGGTTAGGTATAAAGCAGAAAAAAAATCTGCAGGTTCAAAAGTATTTCAAGGTGGTTTAATTAGCTTTCCTTTTTAGTTAAGTGCTTACCTAGATACAGAAAGTGTAAAGAAATGACTCTTGCTGTATGTGTAACTACATAAAGAAGTAAGTAAAGTACCACCCAGGCACAAGGTGGCACATAGTGCTGCAAGCAGCTCTGAGCACTTTGGCTAAACATGACAGAGGCTATAAAGAATCCTAGAAAGGCTACTTCCCATACATGACTCTACACGTTTCATTTTAATAAGTGGGAAAATAATCATGTTTAAATAAACTATGGAACAATATTCCCCTTGACTGATATAAAGGAGGACTTGAGGGCAGAAAACTCAAGACACAGAATTCTACTCTGAAGAACATCTCACACCTCACTTCCTTCACCATATTTCCTAAGCCTAGCAGTTGGGATCCTCCAGTTCCCAGAGGCCTCCATACTCACAAGTTCCAGCACAGGGCTGACTAGGAAGGCTGGACCCAGCAGGAACTGTTTGTCTATATTCCAGGTCTCTCTGTCTGACACAAACCTGGAAAGGAAATTGAAGGTGTCACAGTCAGATCTCAGTAGAAATTTGGCTTAATGCCTTGAAGAAATGGTCAAGTCAAAACCCATGTCAGAGACTCTTATGTGTTCTCTGCCTCCTGTACTTTCTGTTCAGCTAATGAAGACTGCATACCCCACATCATCCCCTTTGTTCTGATTCTAGAACCTCAAAATTTGTTGAGAAATGTGTTCATGGACAAACTATTTCTTCACTATGGCATATTTTCAATGCAAACATGGTTTTTGTTCTTAAATCTTTACTAGAATACTCATGGAGGTAACCAGAACAAGTAATGGACTAGAAATATATAACAAACTAAAAGTAAAGGAAATCATATAAAGAAAAAATAATGCTATAGAATGGTGGATCTTTTCTATTTTTTTTTAATTCAATAGCTGGCCTTTTATTCAAGACCTGTGGTAAGCAGAGCACAGAAGCACTGATAAAGTATGAGCTCCATTAGGACATGACTGATGAATGAGAATCACAGCTTCAGAGTTAAAGAACTGTTTTAATCAACTCCTACCAAGAGGTTAAGCACATTGCCTATTAACAGAAATCTATCTCAACACTTACTCATGGAGAAGAGGCCGCACAACTGTGCTGCCCTCCTTATGGGCTTTGTACATCAAGGTGTAGAGATACGGTAACAGTGTGTATCTGGTCTCCAGCACACTTCTGGAAATATCCTCAAAGTTTTTATCCCAGGATACAGGGTCTTGTCTCTAAAGCAGAAGGAGTAAAGTTTTTAAAGCCCACCCAACACACCTAAGAATTTAAGGTCATCAAGGACATATGTAAACTATATATAACATCTATAAAGTATGTACTAAAGAAAATTATAGATAGGACTTCTATATAATTTTTCATAAACTTGGAAACATTAGCAAATTTCTCTTTTAAAAAAAACACCAATATATCCTATATGAGCTATAATGGAAATTAGTCCCTAAGCAAAAAGAATAATCAAAATAATATTAAAGACTGTGGTTTACAGGAAAGGAATTAATGGATTTACAGATGTCCTCAGATAACACAGACAGCAAGTATGCACTCAGAAACTGAGATAGCATATATATTTCTATGACATAATATAGACTGGAAAGTAGATATAGTACCCTGGTCCCAATGGTGTTGTGGTTCCTGGAGAAGGGGTAAAAGGCACCCAGCTGCATCCAGCGAACACACATCTCATACTGAGCATCTTGAAAGAATCCACAGATGTCTGACCCGGTCTGAAATAACATGGAACAAAGTAAGCTCTTGGTGTTTTCTAGGAGACACTGTCATCTTCCTAAGGAGGAGGAGCATGTAAAGGACACTTACATAGGATATGCCAAAGAGGCTGAACTCCATCATGCCTGCAGTGAGAGATGCAGCAGAGTCAGAACAGGACATCCTCTGCCTCCTCCTCCACCTTCACCAAGAATACTACTCCCATCCCTGCCTGCAGAAGCCCCTGGGCACAGCCCACACACCAATGATGGATTTCCCCAGCTGGTCCCAGGCAGCTGTGTTGTCTCCCAGCCAGTGTCCTCCCCAGCGTCCAGAAGAGGGGAATGTGGAGCGGGAGATGACGATCCCTCTCTCTCCTGTCACCTCCTGCACAGCTCTGGTTGAGGAAACAAGGAGAAAAATTGATGACAGAGCAGGGGAAGATCGGCCATAGAGCTTCCTCCCCAGAATCCTTGCACTTAAAATATCTTGAAAAAAATCTTTCCTGTATGACGACAAGGAATATAGAAATATGACCCAGTAGAGGAGGATTGGCTACCTGATAGGGATAAAAACAGCAGTAAGGACTCTTTAAACAGTTCCTTTCAAACTATCTTATCATGTTACAAAGTCATTGGCTTGCCACCAAGTACTAAGCAGTTACAGGATCTGGCTACTTATTCTCCCATACTTGACTACTAATATTTGAGAAAGAATACGGTAAATCCTATTAGGATTTATCTTAAGATATTTATTTTTCTTATGGCTTACATTGTGAGTATGCTAGCTACTTGAACTAAAGGCCCATTGACTATCCAATATGGGTGGCCAAAGACAAACAAACACCTAAAGAGGCAAAAATTCAATTTCAACATAAGGAAGCAAGGTTTCTGGCGCTCAGTTACCTGTTTTTCTCTTTTAACCAGTGATACCATAGTACTGACTACACTGCACAATGACTTACAGTGTACCTATGGCTATGCTCAAGAGGACTACTGATTTCCTCACAGAGATGTCTCCAAAACTCCAAAGATGTTGCTTAACAAAGAAGAATTGCTCCATGATTTTTACAATTGCAGTATACTTACCCTTACAGTGGGAAACAAATGAAAATGTAGAGATGCTACAACCCCCATCACAGAAGTAGGGCCAAGAGGAGAAACAGAGAGTCACTCACTCGTAGGTGGGTCTAGTCTGTGACCACCCATACAGGCTGTGCACATCATAGTGCCGCACCCGGGTGCCATCTGGAAGGATCTGCTCACTCTCCATGCACAGGGTCTTGCTGCTCAGGCCTCTGTTCCTGCTTTCCAAATCTAAGGAAAGATTTAAGACAGTGAAAGACAGTTCTTCTTCTTCTCACTCCTGACCTCTTATTAGTGATATGATCTGTAGAACTTAAAATAAATTTGATTTCCAACTGGGCACCCTCTCCTGACCATGATCAACTCAGAACAGTGCTCTGAGCCAAGGTGCAATAAGCATTAAAGTGCTCTCAATTGCTGATTTTTCTAAGAAGGAAAAGGAGGTTTAAAAACAGAGTTTTCATTTATTTGACAATAGAGTAGGCTTTGGCCACAGTTGGAAATACAAATCATTTATTATTGTTAACACACCACAATGTAGCTTGTGATATCTGCCTCTTTATATACACTCAACTGTAGAAAAGTGATATTTAGAAAAATTGTGTAAGCTTTGAGATATCTTATACCTCAAAGAAACTAAAATTTGAGGAACTGCCATAAACACAAATAAAACCAAAGAGTCAATTGTCTCCATGATAAAGGGAAGGATTTTTTTCCTACCCATTGGTAACAAAGAAAATACAGGTAGACACATTATCAAAGTTGATAACTAAGACATCTTACAGTGAGAAGCCTTTGAAGACATTGCTACATTTGAGAACCATCTGGAAAAATTTGAGAAATCTGTCCAGTGTCTCCTGGGTCTTGCCACACAGAATTAGATACAGTGCTTCCTATACTTAAGTTGAGACTCATTAATTTACAGCCCCTATGAGAATGTACCCTTGGTGCCAGGTAACCCTTGCTGGCAAGGGAAACCATTGCTTGCTTGGTTTATGCACAGAGGACAGTGTAGGTCAAATTTATATACAGTAAGAGCTCAGTATCATGGCACTATTTAGAAATTAACCTGCATGTATATATTTTGATGAGACCATCACACAGTCCCTAAAATGTGCTAGCCTAAGAAGGAAAGGTTGATTGTGGGGATGTTAGTTTCCTGCCTTCCCAGAAATCCTGCCTTCTTAATAAAGTACAACTGCTCTTCAGCTCCTGTCATTCCTCAATGTCATTTGTGGTGACAGGCAACATTTACTCCAGATAATGGCCCCTAACAGGAAGAGAAAGAGCAACATCCTTACATGGCATGTAGGGAGGACGGTTGAGAGTAGCATCACTGCAGCCTGAAGGAACTGCTCCATTCACAAAGCTGGAAGGTTCATTCATGTCCTACAAACGTCAGAAACATTGTTTCCATTTAAATACAATCATGGCATATAAATTCAGAGTCAATGAAATGGCAAATAGAGTATTAAACACCGAGTAATCTTTGGATATCTGCATAGGGAAAATCATCAAAGGCTGGGGAATCTAGCTATAAAGAGTAATCTCTGTAAGAAAAGTTTTCCTGAGGCAGAGAACAGGAGCTTCAGGTAAAAGACCAGCTGTGGAGAGGATCAAGGCAGCTCCACACCTGATTAGAGGGAGTGCAGTGTGACATATGTAAAGCCTCGTATGAATATTATTCTGTTAATATATTAAGAAACACACAGGTAGATGGACTGGAAAGATCTCTCGATGCTTAAAATCACTTGTTGCTTTTGTTGGGTTCCCAGTACCAACATGATGGCTCACAACCATCTATAACTTCAGTTCCTGTTTGAGATATTACACCTTCATAAGCACTAAGCACACACAAATGTACATACATACATGTAATCAGAACAGTATATACATGATTTGCAGACATACCCATAGACAAAATATTCATACAAACGAAATAAATAAATATGTTTTTAAGAAAATTAAAAGAGATTTTTTTAAACCTTTAAAAAAATAAACATACAAACACAACTCCCCTACACTTCATCCAAGTAAGCACACACGCACACACACTTACAATCCACAGGCCGTCAAACTTCAAGCTCTTTTCTGGTTCCTCTGTGTTCGTGTAGAGTTCTTGGATCTCCTGCTTCCACCATGTGGCAGTTGAATTCCGGAAAAAGTCTGGGAAGGCCACATAAGCTCGGTATTGCTATAAAATAAGAAAACTTGGTTATTTGTCATGAGTGATTACATTAGGAAGCAGAATACACTTAATGTGAACATGGCTCATGCAGCCTTATACTGCCTGGTCGAAGATAATGAGAGTAAAAGCAACTCTATAGCAGATAGGTGGAACAGGATTATCTTGGAAAAGCATATAAGGCAAGAAAGCATAAAATACCATCTACATAGAATCTGAGAAGTATCCAGGAAATTCCCCCTTACATTTCTATAGGAATGGAAGTGATCAACACCCTATACTCATTAAGTCATGCTATCTACCCCATCCCGATTGTCCATCATTTCTTAAGGACTGATGAGATAAGGTAGAAGTCCTGTGAGACATTAGCGAAAAGTCAGGTATCTGGTGATGAGTATCAGGCTGGTATCAGGAAGCCTTCCCATTGGGAGAGAAGTTGAAAAAAGATTGCATGTTGTGATTTTGCACCAACTAGTATGACTCTCTGTTTGCTCTGATTTCCAAACCAGAAGAAGCCTTCAGTTACATGTAACATATAGTGGGAGGACTAAAGGCTTCCATTTTAGTTTATCTTTCTATACCCTAAAATTATGAAAACGGTGTCTACATCTTATATGAAAAATGGGTTCAATGTATCACTCCTTAACTGCATTTTACAGGTTTTAGAAGCAAAGATCTTGTCTTATGTTTTCGAGTTGAACTTTGCATTCTCTACTGTGTTTAACAGAATTAGAGAAAATAAGAGATAAATAGTCATTCACGCTCTCCCTGCTTGTGGATGTATGCCCCTCAGCAAGAGAAATGAGCCAGAGAAATCTGTATGCTTCCCCCTGCTATTTATTGTCAACATTTTGGTTGGTGTGCCTTCTTTATGTCCTTGACAGAACGTCAAACATCAAGGAGCAAAAGAACGGCATGGTAGAGAGTAGCAGAAAGACTTGGCTGAGTCATTTCACGGTGCTTACACAAACGAGCAAACAGTCTATTAAGGAAGAACCTATACACCAAGAGAAAGCCCAAGAGAAGATGTTGAAGAACAGATCAGAAATAGTTCAGCATGCATTGCTGCTTTACCAGAGAGGCACAGTGAATCATAATGGTACTATATACTATATAGGACTTGTAGAATTTCTTTTAGTATAAAAATAGAAGTAGAAATCATGAAGCACCTAACAAAGAGAACCTTGCCCAGAAACAGAGATCCAGTTTACATTAAGCCAGAGACATGAGCTTTTGAAAAAGTTACATGGAGTATCACGATATACAACATTACCAGCTACATCTGAGTGAGAATGGAATTTGCTATAGGATGTATCATTTTTGCACTTCATATTGTAGACAGGCATCTACATATGCATCTTTTTAACTAGCTCAACACACATACCACATGCTATATACTACTTTGTTTGTTCTGAGTTAACTTTTAACCTGTTGGACACATGGGAGGCTCAGCTGGGAGTATGTGAACCCTGCCATACACAGAAAGACAACAATGAGTAAACCAGAGAAGCTGACTAGCTGACTTTTTGTCAGAGGCATAAGAGATGGAATTTCTGACTGCTTTTGTTTCTATTCCCTAATGATATGTCTGCTGGAGATGAGAAAAGAAGACAGATTGTGTGGAGGTTAATTTTCTGCATTTCTGGATCACCTGCTTTCTAAATAAAGTGTAGCTATTAGATGCAGAGTTCCTGAGTCTTCTTATTGGCTTATCTGCTGATAGGCAACATTAACTCTAGATTTCCAGTCTTACGTCTAGTCATTTTCCTGGAGGAGGTGGAGGCCCAATTTCTTTAATGGCAAGGGGGAGGACAGTTGAAAATAGCATCATTGCAGCCAGAAGAAGCTGCCCATTCATAAAATCAGTAAAGATAGGAACTACATGACCCATTTAAAAGAACTTGGTATGTTAAGGTGTTCACATGGGATACCTGCCCCACCAACTGCAAGTTATGTTCTTTAATAACTGATGGAGAGACTGAGAAGCTCTGTGCTCTGCTTAAATCCCCACAAAGTAATAAATGATACATTGAAGATAGATGATATGTGGATAAAGATTCCATAAATCAATAGATGATAGATAAATAGATAGATAGATGATAGATAGATAGGTAGATAGATAGATGGATAGATAGATAGATAGATAGATAGATAGATGATAGATAAACTGATAGACACATAGACAGACAGACAGACAGACAGACAGACATATAGATAAACAGATAGATAGGAAGATAATACTTACACAATAGCAAAAAGGCAACAACCTTGACCCGAATCTGACGCATTTTGAGTGGTATTTGAAACCTGACCAAATCAGTTTCTATTTCTTCTACTTTATATACTACCAGAAAATAAAGATACATATTTCAATACCTAAGCAACATGATCATAAGCATTGGTATTGCGGTTTGCTTGCAGAGGCCCAGAAATCAATGGCAGTGATCAGTGCATCACTCTCCTGTGCTGTTTTCTGTTCTTAGTAGTATACATCAGTTGTGCCCACCCTGAGCACTTTTCCCTAGCCTGTGGAGTTCTACAGAATATTTTTCTTCTGTACTAGAACTATCTGTTCTAAGAATGAATTCCTTTACATAAGGCATGAATATTGGGCATAATTTATGCCAGTTCACTTTTTAGGAACTATAGCCTTTCTCCTCTATTCCTGAACACTGTCTAGAATATGACATTGTAAAAAAAAAAAAAAAATCCCCAGACGGCCCTTGGTGATGGTCCTCTGAATGTCTAATGCTGGATCTCATAATGGCCATGTTTGTGACCAGTTCAATGAATATATTTATCTAATTAAATCTTGAAAGTTATAGTTTCAAAACCACAGTTTATACCATTCATTGACCACACAGAGAGCAGCTGCGTCCACTCATCAACCTGAAATAGGTGTCCAAATAATGGGGCCTTCTCTCTGACTTCCAAGCTACACTAGGAAAGGTGAACAGGATTCACATGCCTTGATGTAATCCCTGTCTACAGAGACGTCTCTTCTGGAGAGAAAAGCAAGGAGTCCAGACTTGTCACTGACTCTCCACAAAACCTTTTCCTGCTCTTAGAACACTGAGCACATCCATTATAACCACAATTGACAGCAGAGAAATGATCCGCAACCCTGCATTGGGTGAACAGAGCTAAATGCTTCTAAACAACAAAAGCTTACTGATAATCGTGAAAAATTGCAATTCAAGAAGCAGATGATACTTAGAATCATCATAAAGAAAAATAATTATGCCCGCTAGAGAGCAATGTACAATACGAGGCAATAGTGACATGGTAAAAGCCATGATGGGGAGAACAAACGCACATGAATCACGTGGGATTCATAATTATGAAGGGGTAGAAGGGTGTCTATGGTCATAAGGCATGCAGTAAAATAGTCAAACACTATACAGAATGCACATCCTATCTACAAATGATATCTAAAGAAACAAAACACCTTAATTCAGAGAAAAACATCATTCTTAGAGTTGTCAACCAATTGAAAGTCTATGAGCCTCTGGATTCTGACAAGTTTGCATCTGAAATCACAATTGCACTATGATACATAACCCAAGTATTTTGAGTCTTCAATCTAAATAACAATACTGATATGACAGTACAAAGTGAGACATGAATTTGAAACAGAGAGTATATGTAAGATCATCATGAAACAAATGTCAGGAAGGATTATCCATGTTCTCAGTGTATATTCAAGCCATATCCACTGACATATATGGGAATTTCAAGTGTTCTTGCTGCTACTTTCAAAAAACCCTGATTGACTCAGCATCCACAAGAACATTTTACCTCTACTTGAATGTCCCAGTCCAGAGAAGAGTTCACAACAATATCAGGGTAATCGGGCCAGACCTGTGATGAAAAAAAAATGATCAACAGAAATATCCCAAGCTATTTCTCATACACTGAATTTCTTGGTTATGAGAGAAGGATCCAAGCAAAAGTGGAGTCTATAAACCCCTTAACTGTTAACAATAATCATCAAATAATGATTTTAAAATGAATAACAGAAACTCAGAGAGCAAAAGGAAGTAGTAAAAACATATTTATAAACACACTAACAGGGTGTCTAGCACAGGATGAAGATTGCTAGCTCTTACCTTTCCCCAGACAATGTCTCCATTATTGGGATATCTGATGAAGACGTCATTTGCCAAACCATTAGTGAAGGCAGGATAAGGCTGTGTTTCATTGCCCGAAATGGCTGGGTCCTGCAATCAGAGCACAAAGCATGTTTGAAAACTTAAGCAAGAACCATAATCAATAGGAAAAAAAAGTAGAATTTTGAGAGGGTCTCTGGTTCCTTCTAAATGATAGACTTTCTGTAAACTCAATAAGTACACTTTTCATATGTCATTTCTCTACTAACAATGTGGGCAAACATATAGTATCAAGGAATCCCTGCACAACCCCACCCATTGTCCCATTCACAGCCACACATTCACACAGGGACTAACCAGAATAAGGATGACCCGCATCCCATCATCCTTCATGCGATGGATCAGGGCTGGTAACCCAAGGAACTTGGGGCTGAGCTTGAAGTCCAGCTGTCTCTCCATGTAGTCAATGTCTGAGTACTGCACATCCTTGGATGATACAAGGAAGACTGGCTGATGGTGGAACCAGTCCAGGCTCCAGCAGTCAGCACTGCTTGTGTCTGGATATTTCAATCTATGACATATCATGGCTTTGCATTTTGGGATATTAATCAATTTTTCAAAATTATACTCAGAAACAAAAAATAAATTCATTTCAATATCAACACAAAATATAAGCATCAATGCATACCTTTAGGACTGTTATGAAAAGTAAAAACAGATAAAATCACTGTAGAAGAAAGTCCTTTGATTTTCTCTATGTGTGTCTCCTGAAATCGGTCATATATGTTTATAGAAAATAATGTCAAATAGACAGTCCTAAGTTGATATGAATCATAAGTCTACTAAAACCCAAAAATAAAAACAAAACAATCATTACTGTAGAGGGCCCAATATTGGAGATGATCAAATACAGAACTTGGATTGAGATGTTTTATTACAACAGTGGTTCTCAACCTTCCTAATGCTGCAGCTCTTTAATATAGTTCTTCATGTTGTAGTGACCCGCAAACATAAAATTATTTATAGTGTTATTTCCTAACTTTAATTTTTCCACTTCTGTAAGTCATAATGTAAATATTTGTATTTTCCAATGGTACTAGGTAACCTTCATGAAAAGGTACTTCAACCTCCAAAGGGGTACAACCCAACCGTTTGAGAACCACTGTATTACAGGAAGTATGCTGCACTAATACAATATTGAACAATAAATGAAAGGCAAGCACAAAATGTCACAAGATGATTTGTGATTTTTGGACCTCTGATTTTAAAATACATGTGATTGATTCTGTCTGTGATTCCATTGGAAACCCAATACAACATTCCATCACGGAGCAAACTAGAAGCTCAAGACTGGCTCAGGGAGCATTGTGCTGTGCTGGACTCAAGAAAGAAATTCTTGTCTGGAATGAGCTCACTGGGTTTGGATTAGTGTTCTTAGTTAAACAAAACTAGAATAGGAGCAGCATTTTATTATCATGTCAGTTAGCATGTTATACTTATGTATCTTCAAGTCATTCCTTTAAAGGAAGCACAGGAATGCCTGATACAGGAGACAGCACCCACGAACCAGTCTTAACTTCTCATTGTTAGTCTGAGCAACCAGTGCTATGAGGATCATGGTCTCCTCTGAATCAATGTAGAAGATCTAGGCTCAGTGTGATATGACATGAGAAAGCACAATGTGTCACTTAAAACCACACTTAAATCAGACAACTAAATCTCTAACATATGCACTTACATAGGGGATCTGCTTAGCCACCATCTCATCATACAAGTTGGCGATCTCAGCATCATTCTCATATCCATAGCGACACAGCTGGAATCCCAGGGACCAGTAAGGTACCATCACGGGCCGACCAATCAGCTAGAAAACAGACAGAATGTTAGAACTTTAGAGGAGAATCTGGATGAAAGTTGGATATCAAATCAGAATATTATACCCAAATTTAGACAGCAAATTCAAATCCAGAGAGAAAGAAATGGGATGGGGAGGGGGGCAAATCAGATCTCCCTGGACACACTGCAGAAGACTTCTTAAAGGACACATTACAGGAATTCTGAAAAACCTGACTTTATTCACATTGATTATATATATATAATTTAGACATTAAAAACACAACACAGAGGTACATAGCTAACTTAGAATGTAGTCTGTAAGTCTTGATGATTGTGTGAACTTGGACAGGTATGTGACATTTCTATGCTTGTTCCTTTACCTGTGAATTAGAGCTAATAACAGGATCAATCTCAGATTTTGACTAAGTAACAGTATGCATGACACACTACCATGTGCTTTAAAAATAGATGCAGTGGATATTTCATTCATGTATGTTGATATGGTAACTAACAATGTTATTGTTCCCTGTGGCCATGACTCACACCACCACTGCCAATACAATCATCATCTCTATCAACACACTATAACCATCATGACAATGTCCTATGTAATCTTTGCTGTCATATCTCCCATTGCTATAACAGACATAATCATCATCACCAACACCATGACTACCAAAACTATCTTCACATCTAGCACTGCCATCACTAACGTAAACATGATTATTACACTCTACCCAATATCTACTTTACTACAACCACTTTCCTTACTGCATGATCTATTTACATCCCAACCATTTATTTCTCCATAACAGTCACTATCCTCATGATCACCGTCACCAATAACATTACCACTATCCTCAATACCATCATCCCTAATCACACCATCAACATCACCACTACCATAGCTCTACTACACCATGGCTCCATCACACTACCATAGCGCCACCTATCCCCACAACTAGTCACTACAAATATTCTGCTACTCTGCAATCAGTGGAGAAAGCATGATTTTAATATTGGTAGGAATATATTTAATCTCCATTATTCCATACTATATCTTCCTCTGAGAAAGAACAATCAATTCAGATACCCTATGATAGTCACATTATATGGCAATCCTGTGCAGCAGAGTTGGAACACATTATGAGTGTATGTATACACACACAGTCATAAGTCATAAATAAATTTCTTCCTACCTCTGTGTATTGCTGAGTAACAATCTCTGGAGTTGGGCCCAAGAACACATAGAAGTCCAGAATGCCCCCTGTGGTTCGGTATGTCAGGGCAGGCAGAGGCTGGAAGGTCACATCTGAAAACAAAAGAAAATGGCATCATGCTGAAATCCTGTATGTTGAGAGCATTGACCATGGAATCCCCACCTTCTCTCTCTTCTATCATGACATATGGCCAACAGATATTTTGAAGTAGGTCAACACGGTATTAAAGAAGTTAAATGAAAGCTTTCACTAGCATCATTGCACTGAGGTTTGATCTTTTGCTATGTATTGTAATGATAAATACTGGTCCCCAAGGTCTGGTTTCCTTCCCCTAAGGATGAGAAGATCCTCACATATACCAGTGATGCAATGTACCTTAGCTTCTTAGTTTAAAACTATTGTTTGAATAAAGATACCTAAAGCCTAAATCTGTGCAGAAGAAGGGCAGGTGTTGTTTCAGTTCCCAAGCTTGAGGTCTGAGGCAGAGACCAGAAAAGGAGAGAGAGAAGTTAAAGAGAGAAAAGGATGTCATAGGTTAAAGGGTCATGAGAACTGGCCATGAGAGCTGGACACTTGGATTAAAAGTGTCCCAGTGTTACATCTGGCAAGTCTTCTCTCAGGGTTATTTGGAGGGAAGTAGACCAAATAATCATAAAATGTTGATATTTGCTCATCTTAAGTATTGATTAAAGAATTATAAATATAAACTTATATTTATATATGAAATATATAAACATATTAATATAAACTATATTAAATATAATAAACTTCGAGAATGATAAATATAAAAGTTTATGTCATTTATCTGAGAACTAAAGTAGATGCAGTAGAAACCCCTGATTAATATTAAATATTTACTACAACAGCATTGTAATTAAAAGCTCAGCAAATTACATACAAATTAAATCTATATAAAGGATCAAAAAGAAGGAAAACTGATACGAAAAAGACTAAGTTGATCTTTCGACAGCTAAGTCAGAGACATTCTAAAGAAATTGAGAAATGGTTAGCACACAATAAGAGGACACAGGTGTCATCCTACCCATGGCATTGCTATTCATCAGGAGGACTCCATGGGCATTGCCATCCTCCTCCAGTCCCATGTAGTAAGGGTGGACACCATAAGAATTCTTCTTATACTGAGAGCCATAATGAGAAAAAAAAGGATGTTAGGAGATTTGTTCATGAGAAAGAAACTGCACAGAAATTTGAATTCTAATTTGAGTTAAGAAGATGAAAAATATGTCCATTTGGCTAAAAGTAGAAGGGAATGATTAATAGACATCTGTAAAGACAAAACACAACACACAGAGAATGGATGGAGGAGACAGAACAGGGACCACACACACTTACCCCTGGAGGTTCATCCCTGGAAAACATGCCCCACGTATGCCAGTTCAGGTCTATCTTGAAGGTTGTGTGCTCAGTTTCTCCAAAGCCATAGATGTATGTGGAGGGCAGGCGGTTGGAGATGCGAATGAACATGTCATTGAAAGTGAAGCCAAGGACCTGAGAGTCCCAGCTGCAGAAATGGAAAGGAATATTTGAAAAAGAATAAAAATAAGATCAGCTTCCAAGTGATTTGTAACAGCTGGCTTTGTAAAGGCCACAGAATTCTTTATTTTCATCCGTAAGTACCATAGTCCCTTAAAAAAAAATACTGCAAGTCTCATAGATTAAACTAACCACAATTATGCCTACTAACACACTTTCACCCCTCCTTTTTCTTCTACACTGTATCATTATGTCTCTTTAGGGTTGTCCACAGAAACAAATCCACTCACTTTATCACCCTCCTTTATCAAACTCCCCATGCCTTCAGCTCTTGACCTCTAATGGATCACTTTCTACATGTACGAAGGCCTGGGATATGAGCACCTCACACCACCTCACAGTCTTGCTCTCATACTGCTCACTTCTCATGGGAGACTCCCATGGAGACTTCAAAGCTGTTCCTGTTCTAAAGCCTACTTAGCATCCGAGCTTTACCTCCCTCCTTCATTCTCTTAGTTACATCATTGAGATCTCTCTATAATAATTGATAAATTCCTTCCAACTCATGACTTATATCATTCTATCACAAATTTTTCTTTTTCAAGAACTCTCTGTGGGACATCTAACCTAGGTTTTATTTCACACATCACCTCTTCCTCAGACAGACAAACTCAGATCAAAGCAACTAAAATAAGCACATAGTGTGATTTCCCTTCTTTTTCTAGCAAAGCAATTGTCACTGTATCAAATTCCTCTTTACAGAGTAATTTAAAATTTAGAAGGAATGGTACACATTTCTAGAAACACAAATACAGAACAACATTTAATGCAGTAAGAGAATTAAGTAAATATTTGTTCAATGAATACCCTCAAACATATAACTATGTCAGCAATCACTCTTAGAATTTTAAAGATTCTCTCTAGGACAGAACACATTTCCTTATTGTAGTAGTTAGACTGAGGTATCCCCTATCATAATTTCAGGCATTGTAGTACTTGGTCCCCTGTGAGTCACTATTTGTGGACTACTGAGAGGTGTGACCTTACTGGAGGAAGTGTGTTAGTGGAGAAAGTCTTTGGGAGTTCAAGACTCACACCATTCCATGTTAGCTTTCTTTTCCTGTTTGTAGTTCAAGATGTAAACTCTCAACTTTCCTGCTGCCATCTCTTCCTGTCTCCATTTCATCATCACAGTGTCTAACTCTCTGAAGCTATGAACTCAAACTCTTTTAAAGATTCTCTTGATTGTGGGTTTGTTTATCTGTTTGTTTGTTTTCTCACAGCCATGGAAAGTAACTGATCTATCATAGATTTGAACATAGGCAGAATGATGCTTTCACTCAAATGTCCTCAAGGACAATAGAGCTAGTGAGGAATATTTAGAAGAACAGTAACACAGACTCAGACCAGGAACCACTTACATTACAGTGCCTGTACTCTTCCGGCGAATTTGAATCCCAAATGGATTCTCCTTGATGAGGACATCATATAGACGGTCTTCAGTGCTTGATGGAGCACTGGGGATGTTCAGAGGGACTGGGACTTCATACCGACTGTGGTTGGGATCATAGATCTAAGCCAGAAGAAATCATTTTATATAAAGAACAACATATACAATTACTTTATAATGTAGCAACCTGACAGTGATAACAATTAACAATATTACACTATACAATTCAAAATGTCATATGAATTTTTAATTACTACCTCACAAAATATTAGAGGATTGAAACACCAGATATACTTAAGTATACTGAACTAATCACTGCCTAACATACAAAGCTGTAAAAGCATGGAATCAATAGTGAAAATATTTACAGTTACTAGTCATTTAAAAACAACACTTTGCAGAAGCATAGTAATCTAGAGATGAATAACTCAACACAGTCTTAGCATGTTGGACAGAGATTGAATCTTTTATTTTTTTGTCTTCTGTAACTTCACAATTCAAGGCTTAATCAATCTACCTGTGTACAATGTCCAATGTCAACTTGGTTTGAGTCAAGTCTCATTATTATGGATTCTAGAACATTTTATCCATTTCAACATTGTGGTTAACATGAAAAACTCATTCTGATAATTGCTGTGGCATTTATAAACATATGGTATATATTTTTTATATGAGTGTACAAATATGTGGACATGTAAATTATGCATTTAAAACAAATGAACTTTTTAGGATTTAAAAAACATGCTGAAATTGTAATTTAAGGCTGAGTAATTAAGAGTAAAAGTTCATTTGTTGATATAATAGTAAATAACAGAAATAGGAACTGAATATGTCAAGATTATTGGCATGAAAATCAGATGAATAATTGCAATTAAGTAAAAAGAATCACTATACTTGAAGAATATGAGCTAACATAAATAATGTAAAAGGACTTAGTGATTGCAGAGAAGGAAATGCTGAGAAGCCACTAAGGTGATTTCATGGAAAAAATTCAGGATGAATCTTAAAAGCCTTTCATCAGAAAACCAAACACAAAAAAATGAGAGGAAACAGTTCTGGTAAAGAAACGATAAACACAAAGACTCAGAGTGTTAGTATTTTCTCAGAAAGCCAACCATGGTGAAGAGAGCTACTGTACAGCTAAATGGTTAGTGGGGAGGAGTTGAGGCTGCACACCCAACCAACTTCTTTCTGATGAGGCTACACACATAAAATAAATCATAGTAGTAGCATAGAGCTCAAGTCCAGATGGAGCTCAGATTCTCAGGGCTCCTTTAAGGCAAGGGCTCTCTGTCTTGATCACTGACCTATATGCTCCCAACAGCATTGGATAACTCACTATGTACCAGCCTGTGTGGGATTCCAATCCTACCATGGTGGAAGAGAAATCCATTTCTAGGAGTTGCTCACAATTTAATAAGGAAACAAGCAGCAGGATAGCTAGTCAATCTCTACTTCCTTGGTTCAATTAACTCATGGAAGGAAAAGCAAACACTTTCATGAGTATTTCAAAGATGTCTCCAATTATTTTCTTAAAAATTATACTCCTCCTCTTATACTTTCAATCACAAATCTGCTCAGTTTTCTCATTTCAGTTAACACCACTACCATCCATAGAAATACATGCAATTTAGCAACATGCTAGTGATTTCTTGGGCATATTCCATTTGGACTCAATAGAAATAACTGAGATGATCTCAAGGTCGGAAATCCATCCACTGTTCCCCATCTCCTTTCTTATTCCAAAACAAACTCAGCCACAACTGTCCTGTCTTCCTACTAGCCTCATCTGCTTGCTCCCATGTGTTCTCTTACAACCATTTCCCTTAGACACAGAGATTTCCTCAATTTGAAATTAGGAGAGGTGTCTTTATTGTACCGGATATCTAATTGATCTCATTACTCAGGTGATAGTCTACAGTATTTTGCTATGAAAATGAAACATTTTGTAGAATTTTGTAACACAAAGTAGCAAAGAAAACTAGAACTGGAGAAGCCCTGTTCCCATCTGATAGCATACTCTATGTTTACCTTAAACTGCAGCATTTCATTCTTGTGGTAGGTCACTTTCAATTGGAGTTGATTCACAGGTGTAGAGGGGAAGGCATTGCTATAAGAAGAAGCCTTCAAGGTGATGTCAGCTGTGGCCCCATGTGAGTCATACTGAATGTTGCTGACTGAGTACAGCTCATTAGCAAAGTAGCAATGAGGGACCCCAGGAGTGTTGGATACCTGAAAAATAAAGTCAGCATCTTATATCAGCAGACATATGGAGTTATCAAATAGAGTTAGAAGAGACAAATTATCTGGAGAGAAAGCCATAGATACATTCATTCATATCTGTAGCATTTACATCAGCATGAATTTAAATTCCTGGTCTCAAAACAACATAGTAAATACATCCCACTCTTACCCATCCCACTCTTCAACCTAAACAATGTTTATATGAAGCCTTTCTGTCGATTTAAATAAACCCATGGGTACAGGGCTGTAATAAAGACATTGTAGATTGTATTTCAAGGGCTTTCAGTTTACATGAACATCTTCAACATGGTTACCTCCCAGATGCAGCCACGGGCAGTGCAGTTTGCCTCAGAAACACCATGCTCATCTGGATAGCAGTCTATCCTTTCCTCGTCCCTTGTAAAGAAGCCCCACTCAACTTTATATGGTTCTCCCAGCATGAGATGGATATTTGTGATGGTGGCAACCTGAAATCATGAAAATTCATCCTCAGTACAAAAGCCTTGCTAGACCTGAATCTTTTAACAGAAATTAA